TCCTTTTCAACTCTCACCTTCATGGTCATGTCAATCGAGATCTTCATCGTCGACCTTCTCATCTTGAACTTCATCTTCCTTTTCAACTTGTGTCCAACATCAACCTCATCCTCATATCCATCCTCGTATCCATCCCAATTAAATTATTAATCTTCAATCTCATATTCCTTTTCCAAATTCAGCCTTAATCCTTGTTTTAAGCTTATATCTAACCTCACCTGCATCTTCGACCTCATTTTCATCTCATCATCAGGCTAGCTTGCCATATCCTTGATCATATCCTTAAACTTCTGTTTTGATTTTGAATTATATACATATTTATCATTTTGTGCAAACTTCTCCAACTAAAGTTCACATTTTCTAAAATTATTAAATATTGGATTATTTCACGTTGTCTTCAAACCCTAACTTGTACTATCATCGTGTTGTATTCATGCACTTTTCTTGCAATTGTCAACTAGTTCATTTGTCTTCTGCAAACATAAGGAAGTTCGAATCCACACGAACCGTCCAACCACTTATGGTTCAAAATCAGTTAATACTAGTTATCTCCAGCATTGCTCGCGCGTTAGCTGCTTAACAACATGCTCCTCGCTGGATTAACATGAAAAATTGATTGCTTGAGACGCATGTGCTAATCTACGTACCAAATGATGCTTCGATTTTATATATAGATTAGCCACTTCAGCCACTTCCTCATACGATTAGATTATAACCAAACGAAAAAATTACACGTAGTTATGGGAGAGTTCTCAGGGTCAGTTTCGATCTACCTTTAGAAAATCATGAACTTCACCTACATCGATTAATGAAACTACAAACCGAATCTTCGTCCTAAACACTCTCGACAAAATATGCGAGCAGGTTCCAAAGGTAACATATTACTCCATGGCGTGAAATGAAAGGGAATATATGCTTTTGTGAAACGCGAAGAGTGAAATAGGTCCTCTGGAACCAGGGTAAATAATTAGCCATGCATTCTCGACAACATAAGAGAACTTGATATAAACCATAGGCTCAAACTTTCATAAAGGATGAGATCTCAACGTTTAGCATTGACACGCGTTCTATTACAATGTCTTGCTATTTCTGCTTCTGCGTATAAAATGCACTGGAAAAAATCGCTCGCCATAAAGGTCGTAAATTTGATGGAAATCTGATGATACATCATTTTGGACACTTACATCATATATACATCAAATTTACAACCTTTAAAGCGCGCGATTTTTTCCAGTGATGCAGTCTTTAGTTCATTCTGAAATCCATCACCAAATAAATTATAATGGTAGATACGATCACGCCCATTGACGCTTCAAAATTGAAAGTAATTAGCTATAAGTCTATAAGTCGATATGAGTTCTTCATTATTACACTACCTTTATGCCTGTAGACTTAAATCTTCGGAACAGACGTAATACGTAATAGCAAGAGTCCGCGTATCTTTCCCAGAACTTTGATAAAAAAGCTTTCTTTGAAGGACTCAACGACTCGAAAAAAGTGTTAGACAAAGGAATCTTGAGATTTTGGCACAAGACAAAGACCAGTAATTGAAAATTATTAAATTTTGTGCCTGGGGTGTTTTATAGGCAAAAACGTGACGTAAGGTAATAAAGATAAGATATATTAAAGGTATTTTATCAAAAGACATCAAAAGACAAATGAGAAATCTGTATCGTCATGGAATGGTTTTCATTGTGAATTGTGATCATCCCTATTGACATATTTCCAATTCTGGCAAAGTTTTATTTTCATTAAACATTCATAGACATTTCCATTCTGTATTTGAATAATGTTTGTCAGCAATACTAGACATATTAATGCAATACAAGGGCCAAATAGGCCCTTTGCAGGTGGGGGTCACGTGACCGCACCTTAAATCAATAAGCAATGACAAAATGGCTGTTCAGAAATGGAAAGAGGGGATCAAAATAAGTAAGAAGACATAGCTTCAAGTCTCAACACTAAATATTTCAAAACTGATAGCAAATATATAATAAAGAGAGATCAAGGCTTNGACGTAATACGTAATAGCAAGAGTCCGCGTATCTTTCCCAGAACTTTGATAAAAAAGCTTTCTTTGAAGGACTCAACGACTCGAAAAAAGTGTTAGACAAAGGAATCTTGAGATTTTGGCACAAGACAAAGACCAGTAATTGAAAATTATTAAATTTTGTGCCTGGGGTGTTTTATAGGCAAAAACGTGACGTAAGGTAATAAAGATAAGATATATTAAAGGTATTTTATCAAAAGACATCAAAAGACAAATGAGAAATCTGTATCGTCATGGAATGGTTTTCATTGTGAATTGTGATCATCCCTATTGACATATTTCCAATTCTGGCAAAGTTTTATTTTCATTAAACATTCATAGACATTTCCATTCTGTATTTGAATAATGTTTGTCAGCAATACTAGACATATTAATGCAATACAAGGGCCAAATAGGCCCTTTGCAGGTGGGGGTCACGTGACCGCACCTTAAATCAATAAGCAGTGACAAAATGATGTTCAGAAATGGAAAGAGGGGATCAAAATAAGTAAGAAGACATAGCTTCAAGTCTCAACACTAAATATTTCAAAACTGATAGCAAATATATAATAAAGAGAGAGCAAGGCTTGCTTCCCAGTTCTATTTTTCCATAGTTTCTTTCAAGAATAATCAAAATTTTACATTTGCTGTCATTTTTGAAGTATTTAGAGTTGAGACTTGATCATACTTTGCTATTTTACTAACATAAACCTGCTCTTTCCATTTCTGAACATCATTTTTTGATAGCTGATAGATTTAAGGAAGGTGTGATCACGTGACCCCCATCTGCAAAGGGCCTATTTGCAATACAAGGGAAAACAAATCAAGTTTATCTTTCATATCATTTTCACCACTTGCTCTGATGTCAACATGCGTTTTTTCAGCGGTGACGTAGTAGGTTTATTTTTTCGAAATAGTGAAAGCTTTTACGAAAACGAAAGACTAGTTTGTTAGAAAAACCAAGCATCAACGCAGACACAAGATCCTTTTTTTAATAAAGTAACACAAGTTTTTAAGTGAAGAAAATAATGATCTTCGCCTTTGAAGAGGGGCGGGTCTAGGGGGAGTCCATTAAGATTGCAAACACCACTAAGTTCACACTATGACTTTGGAAACTTGGATAAAACAATAAAAGCAGCTTTGACTGAGCTACTACAAAGTTATGCAAGATTATTATTTAAGTCATTTTTCGTCTACAAATATAAGGCAGTTCCAATCCACACGAGCCGTCAATCCATGTATGGTTTAATCCAGTCTCCAATGAGAACAAAACGCAGTCTGAAAACTTGTACTTATCATTTGGGTGTCCATCGTTCCAGTACGTGAACGACAAGGGAGACTCGTCACTAAAGGTGAATGTATTTTCTTGGGAGATGGCGTTCAGTCCTGTCCACACAGCATCACGTTTCTTATATCGACCTGTTGAAGCATATGATATATTGTGAACGTTTGTTGCTGTGCAAAGCTGTACGTTTCCTAGCCGAGCGTCAAAATTTGATAACCGATCTCTTCAGAGAAACCGTCTTGGCGCAGGAAAATAGTACCATGCAGAGTCAATGCCAAGGAATCAAAGACAGATCGATATCAAGATATAATAGATGAGGTGACGGTTTCGGCCACCATTTTGTTCCGGTAGGCAAAGTGTCGCAAAATAACAAGGAATGACCGGGAAATCGATGTCAAATAATTCTCGCTGAATTCAAATTCAGAAAGAATTATCAATTGCAAACATTAGATACCTCAAAAAGGAGTTAACGGGCAAAATTTGAAAGGCGTACTTGATCTAGAGAGCGAGTAAACTCATTTTTAGTTCTCCAGACATTTCTTTGTAATTTCAATACATTTCGTTATCATTTCCGGGGTCATCAGTGCGTGACGCGCGTGAAAAATACAAAGAAATGTATGGAGAACTAAAAATGAGTTTACTCGCTCTCTAGATCAAGTACGCCTTTCAAATTTTGCCAGTTAACTCCTTTTTGCAGTATCTAACGTTTGCAATTGATAATTCTTTCTGAATTTGAATTCAGCGAGAATTATTTGACATCGATTTCCCGGTCATTCYTTGTTATTTTGCGACACTTTGCCTACCGGAACAAAATGGCGGCCGAAACCGTCACCTCATCTATTAAAAAAGGAATACGGTAAGTGTTTTCTGGCTCTGCCCATGTATTATATACGGACATTTCCTTGTCTATTTTATCACTCACAAATGTGATCTAACTGCAGATGTTATTGCCTTGAACTAAAACAATGTGAAAGAAAATGCATACCTATTCTTTCCTGTGCCCTATTATGTGAGTTGGCTGGCCAAGTGAAGACTGYAAGCTCTCTTATATATGCATGGAGWACTGTACTTGAATTYCTATMCAGCCCGATRTCATAGTCATGATATGTAGACTTTAGCATTCTGTATTGCATGTTCAAAACCTCTTTTGCCTCTTGCTTTCCATTGATGAAAATGGCTGTGATATTGTCGACATATGACCATGAAGCAAGGACATGAGTCCAAACATTGAAAACGAGTGATCTTTTGAACAATGAAATGTTGATMGTTACTACACAAGCAAATTGAGGAACAATTGAATGAGTGCTGGGTGGAGGAATGCATAAATGGATTATACTGAATTTTATTTAATAGAATAATGGCAAGGAATGATCGTATGATTTTCAGTGTTAAATGACATGTTAACCGATACTGAAAAGAGTGAAAATATAAAGGACATGCAGTATTCGATTAATGTGATATCCATATATCTACCTATTGGCCGTCAACGTTGTAGTATTCGTAGTTATGAACATCAATTTGAAGTGGACTTTTCCCTCCTTGTCGATCTTTAAGGCGAATTGGTAAGGTGCAGACCAGTCCCCGTAGACCAAGCCCTCAGAAGCAGGTGTTAATAGTTTGACCCAGGCTCCGATGGTGAAACCTCGCTGTATGAGGCTCATTTGTTTTGTGGTTGCATAGTTCTGACTGTTTCCATCAAGGTACAGGGCTTTGTATCCATCGATGTCCTTGATTACAGCATCTCCGTGAAGGCTGGAGAGAACCAAAATATATACAAGAAACTGACAATCAATACGCCACCCCCAGAGAGAAGTCAATCCAAACACACATGCGAGCAGTCATGATAGCAAAAATAGCAGCCAATCAGAATGTGACACACACCCATTTGTCAATCAATCAATTAACCAACCAACCAACCAACCAATCCGAATCAATCCGAATCAATCCGAATCAATCCGAGTCAATCCGAATCAATCCGAATCAATTCGAATCAATCCGAATCAATCCGAATCAATCCGAGTCAATCCGAGTCAATCCGAATCATTCCGAATCAATCCGAATCAATCCGAGTCAATCCGAATCAATCCGAATCAATCCGAATCAATCAATCAATAAATCACTGGTTTACCTCAATGCAACGTCTGAAATCCCATTCAGCTTCCAAAGCATTATTAATTGAGTATTGGTAGAGTTCCCTGTCGTAAAAGCACTGACACATTAATTTTCTTAGATAACATAAACTGTTAAAATGTTGGGAACGATAAAAGGTTGTCTGTACACAGTATTGCTATTTTTTCAAACGAATATTTTTTAAACTTCCTTATTCTTAAAATCACTTACCTCGTGAAGCATTATTAAGAAGATGAGTTGATATGAAGTCCTGCTCTTGTTGACTATGAATCGATACCAGGTCCCCTTTGTGTGCGCGACATTTATGTCTGGCTTCTCCCCAGGTCACTCTATCTTCAAACAATCGAAATTGTGAAGAGTTGAAAATCTTCCATTCCATTGATCCCAGACATATTTCTGAGCTGCAACCGTTTCTTGACTAGAAAGAATACAACAGAAATAAATTCGTTTGTACAAGACAAAAGTCCAAAGTGTCCACCCAGTGTACACCCAGTACTCCCCTATATTCGCTATACGGGGACATGCCACCAACCAGAGTATCGTTTTTAGCGATTTTGGTCTGGAACTGGGTATCGATTTCAACGAATTTCCTCTGGAACAGGGTCAGGGTTTAATTCCGGAATTATTGATGCTGGGTAAAAATTTGGTCTACAKGCRAGCTAGTGCTGGATTTTCTCTGGAACTGGGTATSGTTTTCAGCGATTTTGCTATGGAACAAGGTATAGTTTCAAAGATTTCACTCTGGAACAGGGTCAGGGTTTTGAGGTCCCAGCGGCACAMCCCACCCAAKTSGGGGGGGGRTGTATCCCCCMCGGGCCTAGTGTCCACCCAGTGTCCACCCAGTGTCCATCTAACACTCACCCAATCTCCACCTACTAGTTTACAATGTAGCTATCATTATATCAGTCCATATATTCCTATGTATTACCGTGAGTTCATAATGATTATAACCTTCCYTCGATATCATTGATCCAGGATCGGCTGWCTTCGATGAGTCRTTCAAGTCGCACATATCTTTTCCATTGGAATCTTTGTAAATATTTACAGASCGACATCCAAATAGTTCTGCRCATGCCATTGAACAATCCATCCGATTGGCTGAGATAGTCTTGATCACGTGACCATTCAGAGCCTCGTCCTGATGCTTTAAAAAGTTTCCGAGCGGCATGATTTGCGAGTAAACTGTTACCRGCTGCCTCAATAATGACGCCAATGTTACAAGCCAAACAGTGATATTCATTTCCTTGCAAAATATTGAATCATTTTATTCATGATAGTATAGTCAATATGGAAAATATAATTATTAATAATATTAATAATAATAATAATAATAATAATAATAATAATGATAATAAATGTTTTTAGGACGCAATTATACAATCTCATTGCGTTAACAATAAACATGGATAAATATTAATTAGTATAAAAATGACGTCTAAATAAAAATGTCTTTAGGCTAGATTTGAAGCTTTTTATGAACCAAAATATGGACCTTTTAGACTAGTTTATAGTACAAAAGAAGCAATATTGGACAAGTGCTTTCTGTGAAACTGGAGAGAGAGAGTGAGATCGAACATTGCACTAAGGCGCAATGTTTTTTAAGCATAATCCTGAAATCCCCACAAATTTGAGATATGAAGGCACTTAATCTAATGTCGAATCTAATGCGCCGAAAAGGCGCTCGATAAATTGAATGTCTAACCTTGATCGACTTTCACACATTTCTGTTAATCACTTTAAATCTATCGGTGATTATTATTAAGAAATGTTATATCARACAACGAGTTTTAATAAGGTTTGTTGAAATTGGATGTAAGATATTTACACATCATGTTACTTTGTGTTTTGCAATTTATAGATAATAATATGTTCTAATRTCTATGACTACTGCTTACCTTATTCTCTTGTAAAAGTACTAAACCTTAGTAAAAATGCCCGTTTTGTCCAAACTGAGATAGTAGGTGTGWAAACGTGTTTTCCATAACAATTAAAACGGACGTCTTGTCAAATTCAGCTGCGTATGAAGAATATTGAAGGCGGGAGTCAGCTGAATATAATTACTAACAAGTATGCCTTTAGGGCGTTTTATATTTTGCAAAAAATGTCCTCCTGTGGACAATATCAAGACGAATATTGCAATTAATTGTAGTTTTTAACAGTTAACTTTCCAAAGTGCATGCTATGCAGCAAAAACAAAAACATAACCTACTTTATGTCAACTTAATCAGCATGTGCAATTTTCCAAATTTACTTTCTACGTCAACTAGAGTTACTAGTTCTAATTGTGGTGTACGTGCACTTTGCAAATTAATCTGGCAAAGCTATAGTTTAATTTTCATTAAACATTTATAGGTTTATCCTTGATGTTGTATTTGAATAATATGAGTCGCTTGAGTTTTGTTTGTGAAAAAAGGTTTAGGGTCTGAGGGGAATAAATGTTAAAAGTTTTGCTGCTGTTTGTGAACACTAAGACGTACATGCACATTGCGTGTCATAGTACCACTCTACCCCCGCTGAACGATAGCAACAAGCTGTTTAATTAAAAAGTTAATAGGTATRTTTTTTACAATTTTACTGATTTCTTGGCTTAATGATCGATTTTCTTGAAAGGGTATCTCTCGGAGCAAAATAGTGCACGAAAAACTGGAGTTTTTCAAAAATATGCATATATCTTGCCATACATTTTTCATGATGTGCTCATTATGCAAAAAGTTCGGGCTTCCTGTGGAGGACATGTGCGCGAACTAAAGAGCGCGCGCTTTTTTTCGACGTCAACTCGATCAACTATGACATACATATTCTAATTAATCACAGTTGCAAAAGTGTTTAAAGAATAAGCAGCATTGTTTCAAGCTCTCTAGAAAGTTTGTTCACAAGCTATTGAATMATTATGTTGAGCGACGACGAATTTGATGACGTTGATCTTAGACAATTGAAAAAGAGCTACAAAGATTACTATGACGGAGARAGAAACGAGCAGGGCGAAAGACATGGCTTTGGGAGCGCACAGTTCTCCAATGGAGACARATATGAAGGTGAATACAGAAATGGTAAAAGAAATGGCATTGGAAAATACACATTTCTCAACCGMGCAAGGTATAGTTCACTGTTGTTACCCAGTAMCTTTGTCYTTTCATCCACAAAGCATTCTTTGTGATAACACTAGGTTGAYATTTTTAGGTACGAGGGCGAGTACGTGGATAGCAAGCGCAAAGGGAAGGGTATAATGACATATCCTGATGGCACTGTTTACAATGGCGAATGGGATGAGAATAAACGGCACGGACAAGGAATCTACACGTACAGAAACGGYGACTATTACGACGGAGAGTGGAAAGAAGGTCGCAAGCATGGAAAGGGTCGTTATGTCTTTGCTAACCAAGGAATCATGTATGATGGTATGTTGAAGGGGAGGTTTAAGGAGGAAGGAAAGAGAAGTGAAGCGGAACGAGAAGCTCAAGTTAACGGAGGGGGGGGTGGGGAAGGAATTGGAGTAAATAAGAAAGCAATGAAAGTTAGCTGAGAGGTGAAAACAGAAATAATTAGGCTACAGGATTCGAGCTATAGCATTAAAGAAGTTTAAAGAGAATATTTGTCCAGAGCGGAAAGAATTGGGGTGGAGAGAAGATTTTGAGAAAAATCAGCCGAGTTAAGCAGAGAAAAGGAGAAACCGATGAGAGAAAGAAGAGGGCAAAGGAAGGTGGAAAGGGGAAACGCACTTTGAGTATAAGAAAACAGACGTAGAGGACGGAGATAGATCTAGAGTTCAACTCATTCTCCTTTTTATRTTTCAAGGAATGTGGGATTACGACAGGTTCGAAGGGGATGGAAAACTTGTCACCAACAGTTACACGTTTAGGGGAACCTTCAGCGAACAAGAACCCATTGGCGATGGAATGTACACATTCAACAATAACTGCGCTCAGCATGGAGAGTATATCATGAACCGACAACTCAAATACATCCAGGGAGATGTCATGGAAGTATTTGTACCAAAGTGGTTCTGTACGGCCCTCGCAGCAGCTGGAATGCCACGAGAGAAGAATATTTGGCTCACATAGAATACCTGGCTTGGCAAAGTTGCTTGCAATTAAATATTTGTATAGTTTTTGAAAGTTTGTCCGTTTTATGAACGAGAATTGTATTTTTTATGCGTCTTGTATAGTTAAATAAACAGTTTATGTTTTTTTAGTATCAAGTATTACTGTAATTTTTACTTAAAATTAGAATGCGAGCAGCGCGGCGGTAGGTGTCCTATCCTATGAGAAAGTGTGCGCAATACATGTGATTTGACTAAAATAATATCAATTAATCGGTTAATCTTGAAATAAATGATCAACTCTGAAAAAACTAGAAAAAGAAGAAGAAAACTGAAAACCGTCACCTCTATAATACTTTATGAGATGATAAATTGTCCATAGACACATACAATATCCTCCACAGAAACAACATATATCCACGAATATACAAGCAAAATATTTTTTCTGACGTTTTTCACGGCTGACATCGTTGAGTCCACCAACTTAGCTTGTGTTGTTGGTGACGCCGGATTTTCCTTTCACCTAACGCATTATACTGCATTATCGGAATAGGTAGCTTAGTTTTGAAGTTGGATTGTTTTAAGCTTTTGAGATTAATGATGATCATATCGGAAATTAGCTTATTTCCCCATTTTGAAAAGAGAGAAGAGAGAAAAATAAAATAAAACCGGAAATGGAATTGGTAATGAGCCGTTTGGGGTGGCCGAGAGGAAGACCAGGGGCCTGAGCAGAGACGGTCGGTGAACAGGAGAAAAATCAAAATGGCGTGGCAACCGGATCAAGACGGGCTCCAACAAATAATACTCTTACTAAAGGAAAGTCAAAGCCCAAACACAGAAACACAACGTGCAGTGCAACAAGTATCCTTATCTCTATCATTAGCACGAGTTTAGAGTCTGTAGTGTTGTTGTGTGAGGTTTTATTGGCAGTGGTTTACCAGCGGTTAGCTTGCCTATCTCACACGTGTTTTAGTTAAGACATTTTSCCCTTCATTCGTGTAATCTTGTGTTCATTATTACATTTAAACCCTCCTTAACGATTTTTTAGAAACTCGAATCTCTCAATCAATTCCCTGACTTCAATAACTATCTAATATTCGTYCTCACGAAGTTAAAAAGTGAAGGTAAGACGATACGATTGAGCAATAAGCCACTGTCAAATCGTCTAACAACTTGTCCTCGCTGCGGCGACTTGTTTATCCTCTCYAGATGAACCTACACGATCACTCTCTGGTCTAATTCTCAAGAATAAYGTTCGGTCTCACTACCATACGTTCCCTGATGAAGTCAAAGAGTTTATAAAGTCAGAATGTCTGCAAGCCATTGGAGATCCTTCGCCATTGATCCGAGCAACGATTGGCATATTGATCACGACAATTTCTGCCAAGGGCGATCTAACAAACTGGCAGCAGCTTTTGCCAAGCTTATGTCAAATGTTAGACAGCGAAGACTACAATGTTTGTGAGGTAGATTACCAATTTTCTCAGTCGGTATAATAAAATCGAGGGATTTTATTTACCATTCATATATATGTGTTGGYTGGCTTTCCTTACATAAGCTTATAATGATAAGTACTGTTTTCTCAAATCGTTCACTTTTTTCCCAATCGAGTAAAATTGAAAAAGTGCACATCATAATTGCGGATTATCAAGCAAAACTATTATAAAGCTATTTATAAAAGTGTAATTATAATCTTTTGTAAAAATAAGTAAATCATTAAAATCTATTATTTTTTTAGAATAAATAAATTTCAATATAAAGTTATATAGCTATATAGCTATTTTTTTTATTTTCCCCCCATAAACTTGCATTTATAATTGGTATTTGTTTCATATTTTTACTTATAAATGCATGTATTTATTCAGGGGCCATACTTGATTAGTACTCAAATTATGTTTATAAGTACTGTAGCTCCCAGCTGATTGGCTGAAAAATATTATTATTAAGACCTAAATTCATGTATATTAATTTTACTTCCTTGTTTTGTATAATTATATATTTTATTATTTGTTTTTTGKTATCTTCAAGCTAAAGAAAAAAATAATGGAAATAATAATTTCTAAATCTGGTTGCCATTTTGTTTATAATGCCTCCCCGTCCTATCAGAAAATAGCCTATAAAATTACATGTACAGTATGTCCATGTCTATCAATATTCATAGAGGCTGGTCACACTATACATGTATGTAAAGGGTTAAAGTGCATCTAACCCCTGAAAAATGACTTTTTTTCTAAAATTAGGGAGGTTTCTTAAAACTTTGGCAAAAAAATGAGACAATTTTATTGAAATCCCATTTTACAAATTTTTAAACATGCAAGAAAAGGTACTTCGAGGGTTGATGTCACACTCRTTTCCATACTTCTTTYGAGGCTGTCCATCTGAARTCCAACTTAAAACAWTTGCAAAAATTCAGGTATTGAATGAAATCGAGTCATTTTTTCGCCAAAGCTCTTAGAAACTTCCCTAATTTTATAACAAAWTGTCATTTTTGAGGGTTAGGTGCACTTTAAGGTTAAAGCTATCCACAGCATACATTTTGTATGGATTTTAATCACTGTTAAGACTTTCTTATCTATTCTTAGTCTTTGTACAACAGGGAACTATATATATAGCTACATAGACATACAATGGAGATTGATCTCATCTATAATTCTATCCAATTAGGGTGCCTTTGGAGCTCTCCAGAAGATTTGTGAAGACTCTGCTGATCAGCTTGACAGCGATGCTCTGAACAGACCTCTAAATGTCTTGATYCCAAAGTTCTTGAATTTTTTCCGACATGCCAGTCCAAAGATAAGGTGTGTTTATGTTTGTTTTCACTTCTTAAATTATGAAAATTAAAACAACATAATGTTGTTTAATTATGTGTTCATAATATTTATATTTTTGTGTTACTGTATGTGTACGTGATGATTRATGTGTCTGAATTAGCTTGTAAACTTCCTGTTGTTGACAAACGTGTCTGTTCACAGGCRATGAGTCTTAACATGCTGATGAATGACATGTGTTTTTTTGTTCTTCAGATCRCACGCCATTGCTTGTGTCAACCAGTTTATTGTCAATAGGACCCAGGCTCTTATGTTACATATTACAACTTTTATTGAGGTACTGTATGAAAATGTAGTAATATTGGTGATGTAGAGATGTGTAGAGTTGATGATGAGGAGCTACAAAGCTGTTGTCACCATGTAAAATTATGACAATTTTCAATATTTTGATAGTTTGCATTGTCGTTGTAAAGATTGCACTCATTGTAATGGTTTTACTTTTCCATTAAAATATTTAATTAAATTTATTGTAATTTTAATATTTTCATTTCTATTCTTATATTGCACATATTCATTCATTTCCCAGTTCTGTGCAGTAATTATGGCATTAATTAATGCCTTGCGTGTGACGTCAAAGCAGCTTCATTTGTAAGACAAAACAAAAGATTTTTGCCCTTTGGGAACTAGAAATCCATAATGTTTTGTCCCACAGTTGGAGCTGTATTCCCATGAACTGCAAACGGTCTATACACGTACACATACTAGTACATACAAAGTGATCTTTCCTTGTCATTCAGAACCTGTTTGGACTAGCTGGAGACGAGGACCCTGAAGTGAGAAAGAACGTATGTCGTGCATTAGTAATGCTACTTGAAGTCAGGGCAGACCAACTGATTCCTCATATGAACAACATAGTTGAGGTAATTTGCTACTGTAAATTATAGTGAATTTGGTAATACTTACCCTGCGAGCAGAGTGTATTTCCTTACCTCAATAAAAATTCGCGAAGGAAAATAACACTCTGCTGAAACCTTGTAATTTCTTATTTGAGCATGCGCGGCAGTTTCTTAGAAACTGATTGATTTCCACACTTCATTACGCGTAATTTTCGCTTCCGGTTGACCTCTGGACTTGTGAACACGAGCTCCGYATTTATCTGTATATAACTATGATCCGTTCGTCTTTAAAATATCATGCACGAAAGCGCTCTCGCAAGACTTGATTTGATCGACAACAACTGCCTGTTACGGCGATACCACTTMGAGTAGTTGTTTCGTAGGAAACTCTCTTGAATTCGGATGACTACAGCTTATTTACTAGAGGAACGATAAGCTGATATATCAGCGATTTTCCGCGCCCCGTCGGTAACGAAACAAACGTCTCTYCTCCACAAATAAATGCTGAGATTCTTTCCTCTCGATGAGAGGATAATTTAAATGACTTTTGAAGATTAGTGTTGAATGATAGACGCCATTTATTATGCTTGTGGGCTCAGTTTTGGTCACCGGATCAATGCATTTATTCAGAAGCGCACAGAAAAACCAGTTTGACTGAGCAAAAACCGGTCTTGACTAGCCCCAACTCTTGGGCTATCGGCAGATCAAAGAAATTACAAGGTTTCGGCAGAGTGTTATTTTCCTTCGCGAATTTTTATTGAGGTAAGGAAATACACTCTGCTCGCAGGGTAGGTAATACTTTTTGTGACAAATAATTAGATAACCTAAACTCTGTCTAAATCAGTTTATTTTACACTGATGAAGGACTAAAGGCCAGAGCATCAGTTCTTTACTTCTTGTACTCTTTGTAAAATTTATCAACTGTTATACTTGTATCACAAATGTTTCTTTTAGAGNACACTGTATACTGGACTGCTTGTATGAAGGGTTTATTAAATTATTAACTACTTGTATAAAAAGTTATCCAGTTCATAGATTTTGTACAAATTTAAAAGGTGGATAAGGATAGCATGATTCACGCTTCATATAACTACATGTACTCCATAATCCAAGCTGTAAAAGTTATCGTTCATGTTATTTTGAGCCACTATTATTTTCATTATAGGAAAGTGTTCTGCCGCAGCCCTGGATGTTCTCGCCAATGTATTCAGAGATGATCTCCTTCCTGTTCTACTACCRATACTAAAAGATATCTTATTTCATCCTGACTGGGAATCCAAAGAATCTGGTATTCTTGTCCTTGGTGCTATYGCAGAAGGTAATGAAAATTTACCATACCATTCCCGGTTTCCAGTCATTTCCTGGAAAGTCTCTGAATGAAGTAAMAGTGAGGGTGGCCTTGTTGGTAGGAGTTTTTATTGATTCATTGTTAAAATTTATGATTGACAGGTTGTCTGAATGGCATTGCACCTCATTTATCGGAGCTTGTCCCATTTCTCATCAACTCCTTGTCTGAAAAGAAGGTAAGCATTGTGCAATGGCTTCCATTGCTTCATTATTATACAAATGTACTTGGAATTTCTTACATGGTATYCTCTATTTKCCAGGCATTAGTTCGGTCGATAACTTGCTGGACATTGAGTCGATATGCCCATTGGGTGGTGAACCAGCCCCATGAAGCATACCTTCAAAAACTAATGACTGAGGTTAGTTATCAATATGTCTGTGCTTGTGTCTGTGCTTGTGATTTCTTTGTGTTCTACTGCATCTCCATGAGCTTTATTTAATCTGTACACCATTGCAGTCCAACCTTTTGTGCTTAAAAGTAAAAAATAAATAAAAAATACTGAAAACAATCCAGTGTGCTACATGTATGTTATGAATGTACATGTATATGYATATATATTCCTTCATCAAATCTTTTATTATGTAGTTATTAAAGAGAATATTGGACAGCAACAAAAGAGTGCAAGAAGCTGCGTGCAGGTACAATTTTGAGTTTAATTCTGAACCATTTACAATGTCGTAAATATAAGGCTTGATTTTACCTATAGACTTATCCTATCCATTTTAAACATCATTATTTGAGTACGTATAGCAAAGAAGTCCAGGAAAAAGATAAAATACTCTTTGTTTTTCCATTGTAGTGCATTTGCAACACTCGAAGAAGAAGCGTGTACAGAGCTTGTGCCATACTTGGGTTTCATTCTTGAAACCTTGGTGTTTGCCTTCAATAAATACCAGGTACATCCATGTACACGTCCAAACTGAGACCATTTCAATCTCATTTCTCTAATAGTACTTGTAATTCCCCTGCAGCACAAGAATTTACTTATCCTGTATGATGCCATTGGTACCTTGGCTGATTCAGTTGGTCACCATCTCAACAAGCCAGAGTACATTACAATGCTAATGCCACCACTTATTCAAAAATGGAATGAACTCAAGGACGAAGACAAGGATTTATTTCCCTTGCTGGAATGCCTGTCCTCTGTT